ACACGTTATGGTAATACATGTACAATTGTAGAAAACGATAATAACAATATTATAGAATATAAATGACATAGTGCATATAAACTTATATTGTACATACAACATAACGTGTGCACGTACACTTAATACAAATAGGTACAAGTTCGTTTTTTAATTACGTAGTATAGTGCATTCAAAAAAAGGATTAAACTCAATTTATTTGTTAGATAATTTTCTCTCTCTCGCTCTATACTTTACTTCATATATCGTCGTTTCTCATATCATCATATCGTGCGCACTAATCCTACGCTGCGTAAGAAAGGAATGGCTATGCTATATCGTCTCACGCCGATATGAAGACTGTCCAGATCGTATTTTCAAAATTGTGCAGGAATTACCAAAAGTTTTGCTGTTAATTTCACAGAGAGAAATTCACAAGATTCACACGGGTTATTACGGGTGCACTGCTATAAATTGTCACAACTATTCTACTATAGTTACTTGGCTCGTCAAATATTACAGTTATTATGGCGACACATAAAATATATTACAAGATTTAAAAGAATTAACGCCAGTTGGAAAGAATATATTTCCTGCATATTCGATAATACAATCCGCAAAATTACGTTCTTAATCAGTCGATATTGGTTGGACTTTGATAAGTCGCGGGGTGTCCGATACGCGCACGGTCGCGACGTTTCCACTGGTCTCTTAAAAACAAGTTAATTATCCCATCTAATATGGCTCCGTCGGACTAGGATTCAGCGTCAGATCGTATATACATGGATAGAAACGTACGTTGAAGAACGAAATCGCACGTGATATCGCGGGTTTCGCACGTTTTAGATGGAGATACATATACATATATTATATTTATGTATAAACGCTCTAAGGCTTTGGCAGTGATTTAACAAATCGATTATCCGGCACGTCCGATAAGGGCAGGTACGCGCAATTATTTTTGTTTTCTTCATTTTTCTCTATTGCGAATCCTGCTATGACCCGTAGTCTCGGCATCGATATGTACTATCACGTGTGTCGGAAATACCGAAAAGTCGATTTGGCGTCTTATACAAGCATTGGCGGAATAGATCTCCTTCTTCTCCTCGAGTTAATGTCGATACGAGGTCCTCTCGCCGGTAACTGACCAGCCTCTGTGCACGATCGGCAGCAAAACTTTGCATAGTACTTGTGTGTGCAATACTTTGCCGCCACAATGAGCTCGCAATTGGCAAAGAACGTATTATCCTGGCAATGGGGATGAATAAAGATACCTAAAAGAATTAATCACATTAAGGCATGATAAGAGACATGTTGAATTAGTGGAAACGCGAAAGAATACCGCGTAAAATATACTGATATGAATAAGAGTTATTCACCAGCTACGCGTATATCAACGCTATTAGAATCTGAAGAAAATTCATTGGCTGCTTCGCACCGATATCGACCAGAATCCTCCCGACTTGCATCGCTAATGACAAGTCGATTGAGCTCTGGAAATGAAAATGTATATTTCATTTGTATCATTATCATTATCATTTTATTGCTATTAAACACAGAGAAAATTTAATATATTAATGTCAATTATTTACAAAGAAACATTTGTTTTTCACAAAAACGTCATTATCACGGCATTATCACTTATGACTTTACCAGAAATCTTTATTCGATTGTTGGTTCGAATAAGTTCATCATCCTTATACCAAAGTACACGTGGGATCGGATAACCGTCGACGGTGCAAGCGATGCTTATGTCACTGCCTTCAGGGAATTGCAATTGTTCTGCCGACACATTGACTTTGACTGGCACTGTGTAATTGAGAAATAAGATTTATTAATAATTTCAAATTGTAAAAATTTTTTTTGATAAATATTACATAAGAAATTGTTTTCTCCAACAAGAGGACAAGAGAATAAAAAAATCCATTACAAGTATCAACTCACTCAAATTATTTTCATTACCTTCTAACGGTCGTATATATATATATATATATATAGAGGAGGATATATTGTTAATCATATTAAATATTCTTAGAATACGGTTGAAATAAGCATGTTACCTTAACGATGCAGCCTCAATCTGATATAATGTAAATAAACTTCATATTAGGCAAGCATGCAGGAAAAAGAAAATAACCAAGACAAATTCATTTATAATATACATCGTTATTGTGTGGCCAGTAGCGCGAAGTAGGACATTTTAGAAAAACTTGATTTGAAAGACAAATCTTTCACTGATGCGAAAACTTAACGAAAAATCTAAAGCAGCAAACTTCATTAACTTGTCACAATGATCGGTGCGTAATGTAGCTAAAGTATCACGCAGTCATCACGTAGTCTCACCTTTGAATTTAGCGCTACCGGATTCGATGGTAGTGGTAGTTTCAAGAGGAATAACACGAGGGATGTGAGGTGGTTGTCTCGAGGAATAAACGGGAGCGTAAGTCTGATGCTCGGGAGATTGTGTTCTGGTAGGTCTGTAAGGATACTGAGGTTTTTCAGTAGTGGGTCTCTTCGGTGGTTGGACGAGATACTTGGTGTACTCTTCGTGTTCGGGTTTAACATTGTAGACGGGGCCGATCGCTTGCAAGGTTGTCGACCAAGAAGCCGCTGTACCGATGCCATTATACGCCTGGCAAGTGTAAATGCCGAGGCTGGTTAGAGTTACCGAGCGTATAAGAAGACCATAATCGGTGTCTTGCTCGTAACTGTCCGAAGTCATAGGCAATATTTCGTCACCACGCCACCAAGTAACGAATGGCCTTGGCCATCCTAAGGCATAACAATGCAGAACTATCGGCGAGTTCATTGTCACCGTTATGCGAGTATCGGGCTCTCCGATGATAGCGGCCGTAAGATTGCTTGGTTCTAAAGAGTGCAAGAAAAGAAACATGCACGATGCTTAGAAAGAGAAATGTTAATTGTCCACCATCACCACGAAAATCACAAATTAATTGATATCCAATTTATATAGTTAGTGCTACGAAATATTAAATTATTAAATTTATTTCATGCTAGCTGAAATGCATTTCATTAAAACACGGATTAAACTAGCTCACAATCGACATCTTACAATTATTAATGCACATTAATATTAATGCAAATAGGAAAAAATCTATGTTATTCTAAAATACATTTCACAAAACATTCATTAATCGGAAAACATTTACAACAAAATTAGTGCCAACCCCAAAATGATTGATCAATGTTATTCCATCGAAAGTTATATTGAGCAAAAGTCATTCTTGACAAGACTTGACTTGGAATACTCAATGTCGCTACCTACCTGTGATGTCCAGTTGATACTCTGCTCTTACTGGTGGCCCTAAACCATTATCAGCAGTACACACATAAGTTCCTCTATCGTAAGTATATAAATTAGTGATCTGAAGAGATCCATCGAGTAATATACGTCGTCTTTTCTCTGAAGGTCCAATCTAAAATTATTAATACTATTTATAAAATATTTTTAAATTTTAATTCTTCAGGCTATGAGAAATAATTGCTCAATTATAATGATACACGTATTTGTCAATTTTTCTCAAATATTAAGTAATTATTTCGCGCATTCGAGATACACTACAGTAACATGACTTACCAATGTAGTATCCTTTCTCCATGTAACGATTGGTTTCGGAGTTCCTAGTGCGATACATTTCAATGTAACATAACCACCTTCTTGCGCACTAACATGAGGTTCTTCGGGTTGTTGAATCATCGCAGGTTCAGCACCGTATTGCGGTAAGGTAACAGTAGGCCGTGATGTCGTTGTCAAAAGTTCTTCTGGTGCGGGTTCCAAACAGGATGTACCACAGCCACTGTTACAACATTTCCATTCTCCGGGACAATCTGCATCCGTGACACATTCTTGCTCACATCTCGTGCTGTTGGATACTTTTGGGCAATGACCGGGTTTAGCGACTGCAATTTTACACACATACACACACATATATATACCTATATATATATCTGCAGACAAATAGGCAGAAGAATAAGTTTAATATAAAAACTATTTTTAAGAATATATTTCTTTATACAATTAGTTGTGTTAACAATTTAACTGTCTTTCTTTCATTCTCTCTCCCTCTCTCTCTTTCATCCCTAATTTTTAAGAAAGTTTTCTAACATATAAAGTGATTATCTACACGCCGCTTAATGCGCAAATAAAATTTTTTCTTAGACATATGTAAATATTACTGTTAATTGCGAAGCGAATTACTTAAGAATTAATTTCACAAAACAAAATTTGAAAATAAAATAAAAATTCCAAGATAATATGCTTACTCGATTGACAAATGCCTTCGTATTCTGTGCCATCTTGCGTAGCGATTAGCCTAATGGCGCATCGAGTATTCTCACGACAGATCATCGTCCTACAAGGATCGACGCAACGACAGCGTTCGCAATCCTGCGAATCCACATATTGCTCCTTACCATACGGACAACGGATAATATTACACTCTTCTTTGGCCTCCGCGCATCGATCTTTCGTATCCTTCGAATCCACATCTATTTCGTTACTCGCTGTAATTACGAGAAATTGCAAAATTTTATCTTCTTAAGCACGACAAGAGTAATTTTAACTATAGGAGAAGGAAAGTTATTGACACATTGCATTTATATTACTGTACGATAGCATTAACATCCAGTGTATGAAGGAGAGAAATATAAGCAATATTTTTCAAATTTTCGTATATTATAAAAAAAACTTTCTCTATGTTTTCAATTTTACGATTTGCATATCAGATACGTAAAAATTATTCAAAAGTTATTATGCTGTACTTTCAAATATATTCTGTAGAAGTACATGTATAATTTTTTTTTATCACTGCTCATTTATGTTCAATTATAAATTTAATCACAATGGAAGAATAAAGACTTTTAAATGCATAAATTTAATTACGATGTAAATATACATTTTAATTGTATGTATGAAAGATTAAGAGATAGAAATGCTTAAATAAAAATTACCAAAAAAAGCGAGAAAAGCATGTAAATGTATAGAAATACACATATATGAGAAAATGAAAATCGTATGAATACAAAAAACTAAAAAGCGATTGTTGAACGCTGTAAAAAAATTGAGTGGCAATATTTGCGGAATAATAAAAAGAGAATAAGAAACTCGTTATAGCAATCTTGTATCCTGAACTTACTCCTAAGACAAGTATTAATGCAAGATTCAAAAGTCTTGAATCTGTTGCGATTGCCACCACATCCGGTATAGATAAACGCCCGGCACGTTTGGCGTTCTTCGTCGAAATAGAATCGCTTTGTGGCACCGGATGTGCAAGAGCCACTATCAACTGGTTCTTTACAGATTGCTGTATCATCATCATAAAAACTATTATACAGTCTATCTATTTTACAGTAGAGTAAATTCAACGAAAATTAACAGCTTAAAGGAATTGTTCGAAAAGAATGAAGAAGCAATGAGATAAATATACATACACAAATTTGAAACACTGGTGTCATTTCCGGGAGATACAGGTTCTTCGTGATGTATGCAAATAGACTCACATTCAGAAATTGTACTGAACCTGTTAGCGTTACCGTCGCATCCACCGTAAATGAACTCACGACACGCACGTAAACCTGATTCATAATAATATTTGTGGAAAGCGCCTCTGCATGGCCCGGAATCCACAGCGAGATTACACATGTCTGAAAAGACCATTGATCTAATTTTAAAAGAGTTAGAGAGAGAGAGAGAGATCTTGTGAAAAAATATAGTAAAAGAATGAAAACATAGACACAATTACTATGCAAACATTTTTAAACTTAAATATTTGAGATTAGATCTCTCACACAATATGATTTAATAGTTTATTTGATGTGTGTGTGTGTGTGTGTGTGTGTGTGTGTTGGCGGGGGGAGTACTTTGCATTTAATAAAAATTTTATTACATAACAAAATAGTGAGAAGAAAACAACATAAATTAATTAAATTAGAGCTCGCTACAATTTACCTTGTCCGTGAAATTTGCCACAGAGTCGCTCACACTGTTCTTCGGTCTGAAATCTATTGGCATTTCCACCACATCCACCATAAATAAATGCCTGACACGTCTGACGTTGAGCATCGTAGTAATACGCAGTGATGCTATCATTACAATCGCCAGACTCAACTGGCGCCAAGCAAATCGTACTTTTCGGTTCTCCAATCGGCGGAGTAATCGTAGCAAATGTTGGAGGAATCTCCGGTGGTATAATCACGGCCGTTTGCCGTCTACATTTCCTCTCGCAAGATTCTCTATCCTGGAAGCGATTCTTATTGCCTTGACAGCCGCTATACTCGAACTCGTAGCAAGAATCGGTGCGTTTGTCATAGTAGAATTGCTTCACGAAACCATTACAAGGACCAATCACCTCTGGTAGAATGCAAGGATCTAAAAAAGAAATTTTCATAATTTTTGTTGGATATTTGCAATACATTCTAAATTTTTTGTAACATATGAATCATATAAAAGTATTAAATAGATTCTTTTATCATTAAATAAATTTCGTTTTAAATTAAATGCATCAAGTTTTTTTTCTGTGATACTTGTGTTATTATCTGAGAGCTTTTAATGACAAGTATAATTTTTGGCATTTTTATTCTTTCATATATATTGTTTATTTTGTAGCTGTTTATGTTTTTATGTACAACTTATGTGTACCTTGAACTTCTCCGCAACGATACTCGCACTCCTCGCGAGTATTGAAATTGTTGCCATTACTCTGACAGCCACCGTACCGGAATTGTTTGCAAACACCATCACGACTATCGTAGAACCATTTGATTTGATTCTCAGAGCAGGGACCGTGTTCATCGGGCAAGAAGCAAAGTTCTGAAATATTCGATAATGAATAAATAAATAAACAGTGATATCGTTATTATATTGTTGTCACCAACAATTTCTCAAGTTATTATTTGAAACGTTACCTAACCGGAACTCGACTTGTCTTGGTGGAGGCGGTGTGGTGACGGCCGCTTCACACCTGTTGACACAGTCGTGTTCAGTTACGAAATTATTCTCATTCCCGCCGCATCCACCGTAATAGAACTGTCGGCAGTGTTGCTCATAGGAATCGTAGTACCATCGTTGTGTGTAGTTACGGCACTCTCCCAAGAGAGCAGGCAGAAGGCAGACATCTTGTTCTATATTCATAAATTTAGATATTTATTTGTGCTATGGTATATTATACTAAAAAGCAATTTTTAGTTTTTCTAGTTGACAGAGTGTATACAAAGTGTGCGCGTGCGCGCGCGCGCGTGTATGTGTGTCATGCATGCATGCGTGCGTGCGCGCGCGCGCGTGTATAGTATAAAAGCAAAGAAAAGATTAAGAGTTTTGCTTATTACTTCAAATATACTATGTATTTTGTTTAATACCTTCAAATATACTATGTATATTAATTAATGCAGTGATAACAAATTTCGAAAGCTATAATATAAATTTTTATATCATGGAATTTGAGAAAAATAGAAAAAGAAAAAAAGAGAAAGTGATACAAATATTTATTTTGATTACTTATTGTATATTACATATATAGGTATACACTTTGTTTTTCTGTATAATTTCTCTGTTAAGAAAAAATGCAATATGTTACATATGATATAATATCACACACTACGTGCAACTATAAATGTAAATCTTTTTAAAATTAATTTATAGTTAAATTAAATTAATTTTTGTTTGTTTGTTATACAAAAGGCAATTTGTATTATTAATGTAATAAAAAATGCGGAAAAAGAGTAAGCGCTTAATAATATAATAAGGTTTACAATAGAAAAAATGTTATGAAGCATCATAAGATAGGATAAATAAAATCTCTTTCTTACCAATTTTAGATGGACAATCAGACTCGCATGCGTCTCTAGATTCAAAGTTATTTTTATTGCCATTACAGCCAGTGTAATAGAATGGCATGCAGCGATTCTCCGATTGATCAAAATACCACCGAGATTGCTTCTCCATGCATGTACCCTCCGCCCGCGGCAACATGCAAATATCTGTTAATCGTATTAATTATTATATCATGCAGAGTTAAACATTAATTAATCTTATTCCAATTCCAACAACTTCTATGTCTGTCGTTAGTTTACAAATTATTATATTTCTACCGTTAGTCAACTATTTAACAATTCTACGAATATGCACATTAAAGTAAATTATTTGTAAAAATTTATGTTTATTAATTTTCATTCTGTCACTGTCATTATATTATTAATATGTATTAATGTTATTACATTATTACATTAATACTTATTAATGTTATTTACAGTTATTACATTAATCCTATATTAATGTTATGGGGAATATATATACAATATATATACCTATTACAATGTATGTACACGCACATACGCGCGCGGACACACAAAGTATTGTTTAAACAAATTATTATATAATAAAACCTAGAGTAAAATATATAATATATAAATAATTCATATAATATTACTATTCAATTTATAATTGACTACAATCAGATTTATCAGACGTGCTTAATGCGTCCAGTTGGGAAGCTTTTAATTTTAACGTTAAATATAAAATGTAACAGAGTACTTAACATGAAGAATCCTGCATTGCAAAGGAGATATATTTATAAAGAATTTATATTTTTATATTATGTTGGGCAAAATTACGCGCAAGTGAAAGCGTGCATACAAATAAGAAATTGTGAAAACTAATCCGCGATCGTGAATTAATTATGTGATTGTGTTATTCCAGTCTCTCGTATTGTTGTCGACATGTAATATTAACAACATGGTGTTGCATTAAACATACTATTTTCGGTTACCACCACCTATGAGCTAAATATGATAAAAATAAAACGAGACTGACAAGACGCTTTCTTGAAATTGAGCAAAAGTACTAAGTTTTCTCGTTTGCACGTGATGTTACCATGAAGCGATCAAGCTCTTTTTTTCCCATTACTGTCTATACCTTGTGAAGGACAATGTTGCTGGCAGGCAGCAAGAGTACGGAATTTATTGGCATTGCCTCTACAACCACCGTAAACAAATTGGCTACAAGTGCCACGCTCGGTATCGTAATACCAACGCAATGCCGAGCCCGGACAGGGTCCGGGATCTCTCGTCATGGTGCATACATCGGATAGTTTTACTGTAAAGGTTCGTTCATCACTATACGATTGATGGCATCACGTTGATGAGGAGCGATTAGAGGAATGTTACAAGTAACATCGGTGGCAAACGAGTACTGAATAAGCCCAACACTTACAAAAGTACTATAATATTCATTTTTTATTTATGTGCCAATTATTCTTATAGTGTGCTTTTATTATATTTTTCAGTTAAAACTATGAATGTTATCCTTCAGTCAGAAGTATCAACAATAAATCGATCAATACGCGCGCGCGAAAATTTCATATAAGTGTAAAAACTGCTACTATCTACTGTTATTAATTTTCCAATTTGAAATTTTTCAAAATAACAATTGTACATAATATTTCGTCGATAGCAAAGATTCATGAAATGACAGATATTGATTTTAATCATTTTAAATTATATTTATAAATGAATATATAAATAAATTAATAATTTTTATTTTGTGAAATACATTAAATTTTAATGCATATATAAAAAGCAAAAAAAAAAAACGGAAAGAAAAAACATACCTTTCCTTCGACCCGGCTGCAAGCATTGTTGATGACAAGCGATTTCTGTTGGGAAATTGTTGTTATTCGCTTTGCAACCACCGTATACGAATTGTTCGCAAATCTGCGATTCTCGGTTGAAGTACCATTTTGTGAAATTGCCTGCACAAGGACCTGCTTCTTTCGGCTGATCGCAAGGATCTGTATAAAATTTAAATAACAAATTTACAACTGTTAGATGTTTAATTAGTTTGTAAATTTTCTCATGCAACGTACCTTAATCTAATAAATTAAATTTAATGTAACACAAGTAAAAAGTCTGGATTTAGAAAAATATATTTAAGTTTAGGGCAAATTTAAATAGAGATATTTAATTTATATATCATTATTAATAATCTTACTTACCAATATCGTCCGGTGTGACGCAAAGTTCTTCGCACTCTTCCCTTGTTTTAAACTTGTTAGCATTGCCGAGGCAACCACCATAAACGAATTGACCGCACTGTTTCCTGCCAGCATCATAATACCACGTTGGATGATACCCTTCGCAAGGTCCAGCAATTTTTGGTAAAAAGCAGGCAGCTGCAAAATAAACAAAAAATTGTTTGAATGTTTGAATGTAGAATTTTGATGTTTTAAATAGATATATAATTGGTTCGTTCGCATAAGGAGTTGCCTTTAAAATCTAAATTCTATATAATGACACACTTCTGGCGCGCACGTATGTGTCTTTAATTTTAATGTAATTAATATAATTAACTAAATGTATTATAAGGAAAGGCGCAATTAATATAAATAACAATTAATTATATAGTACAAAATATGATATTTTTAAATATAATTACCTTTTCCTTTTGGTTGAACGCAAACTTCTTTGCACTCTTCCTGTGTTTTGAATCGATTGTCATTACCCTCGCAGCCGCCGTACCAGAATCTTGAACAACCGCCGTAGTCGGTATCATAGAACCACTTGACTGTAAAATCTCGACATGAGCCTCTGTCTTTCTTCAAACCGCATGCGGCACCAGGCATCGAAGGTACTGTGAGGCAACCTTCAAAGTTCTCTCCTTGAGCTTCCTCGATTCCGTCCGAACAGCATCCATATTGCGATGCGTCACAGGTGCATCCCGCAAAGTTTGGTCCTTTGGCTGGCGTTCTACCATCCGAACAACATTTATATTCCGTGTTTTCGCATCCGCAACCTGTAAACATTATATACAATGCGTTACAAAAGGTATCTAATTTTTGTACACTTCTCAACATTTGGATTTTATATATACGTGGTACATATTACTACAAATATATGATACATATTGTACGTATGTTGATCGTGGAGTTACCTTGACCATGGGAGCCTTTGGCGACAGTAATACCGTCGGGACAGCATCCAAACTGGTAAGTGTAACATGGACATCCTTCAAAATTGGATCCGCTGGCGGGAGTAAACCGATTCGGGCAGCAACCATGAGGCGTGTATTGGCAGCCACAACCCTCGTTATTTGGTCCGCGAGCTGCCGTCGAATTATCAGGGCAACAGCCGAATCTCGTGTATTGGCAACCACAGCCATAGAAATTTGGTCCACGGGCTGGCAGACTGTTGTCCGGACAGCACTTGTATGGGGTTGATAAACAACAACCTTCATTATTCGGACCATGTGCTGGCGTTATTCCATCCTCGCAGCATCCGTAAGCACTGTCATGGCATGGCATGCGACAACCATAGCTGTCCGGCCCGAGAGCTGCGAAAATAATCAAGAAACATATATAATAGGAATGATTTGCTCCAATTTCATTTGTTTCAATATTTTTCAATTATCCATATTTATTATTATGCAACCAACCCGCGGAAACTCCGTCAGAACAGCATCCAAAGTAAGATGCGCTGCAATTTTCGAAATTGATGACACCGCATCCTTCAAAGTTGGCGCCATTTGCAATAGCGATACCATCAGGACAGCAACCGTAAGTGGTGTTTGCACAATCTTCGAGCGAAATTGTTGTTTTTTCATGTATTTCCGTTTCAGAAGTGACTTCTTCCTCACAACCTTACCACACATACATATGTTATTGCTTAAAAGATATGTATAATAAACTCGATAAAAAAGTAGGTATAATATAGTTTGACATGATTTTATAAAAATTGAAGTACGAAAATATTAAAAAACACAATCGTACGATATGTTATATAATCTTTACATACAATTATGCGATATAATTTAAAGGATACAAAAACGATACGAAATATGTAATTCTTATACATATATACCTTCACCATTAGGACCAGAAGCGGCTTTAATATCACCTGGGCAACAACCAAACTCGGTGACATTACAACATCCCAAATAAGCCTTTCCACTAGCTGCAGTCTCATTGTCTGGACAACATCCAAATCTACGCGATTAAACGCATAAAAAACGCAAATAAATTACAAGACTACAAATACGATATTGCATTTGCAGAGTTTACTTAATAAAAATGAAAACTAACTCTGTTTCTTTACAAGGTTTCTTGCATCCTTCATAATCGTTGCCTTGCGCTGTAGTAATACCATCGGGACAGCAACCGAAAAGTGATTCATTGCAACGTGAGTCGGGGCAACCCTTGTGCTTTGGACCAGTAGCAGGTGATACGCCATCGGAGCAGCAACCATATCGTGTCTCGTTACATGTTTGAGGCGTCGGGCAACCTTGTCCAAATGGTCCCTGAGCAGCGGTGATATTGTCGTAGCAACATCCGAACGGCGTTTTTTTGCAGCTCTTCTTTGGTTTACATTGCCGTTTATGGGCCGTTACTTCTGGGAAGCTGGTTGTCCATATCTCCGTGACTAAAGTTATCAAAGTTGACATTAATATATGTACACAAATGTATATATATATATACATATATATACATTTGTCTTATTATCCGAGATTACTTACTATGAGTCTTTTCGGTAAGATCAGTTTCTTCACTTGTGACTGTGGAGGTAATGTCCCCTGCAGTGGTCTCACCGGATACTGTTGTCTCCTCGAAAGACGATGTTGTATTCGACGATTCAGTCATTTCGCTTGACAAAGTTGTCTCGCTTGATTCGGTTGTCATAGATGAATCGGTAGTCTCCGTAGAAACCATGACAGTAGTCTCGTTGGATTCTGTTGCGCTTAAAGTCGTAACAGAATCACTAAATTCAGTCGTCAATCCAGATTCTGTTATCTCAGCTGATTCTGTGCTAATGCTGAACTCAATTGTCTCTTCAGATTCGGTTATTTCCGTTATCTCAGTAGTGTTTTCTGTACTGTCAACTGTTGTAGTGTAGCTTTCTTTCGTTTGACTAGATACCGTAGTTATAGCATCAGTACTCTGTTCCTCTGAACCGAAATCATACTCGCCTTGTACATTCAATTCGGTTGTTGGCTGAGAAACCATTGTTGATGTCATTTCAGTTGCTGTTTCTGCAAAAATATAATTATTTTATATTAATTTGCACTTTTGACATGTTGACAATTAAAATTATTTAATTTTTGGCTTATGTTAACTAGACATACACACAGAGTGAATCAGTTAAAGTGTTACAGATAGGAAGATGTCATTGGTTTGACCTTGGATTGTCGTTCGAAGACATATTATTTTTTGCTGTTCGACTTATAAGGCTTGAAATTAGTTACATTACCGCCGGGGCATTAGTATTACCCATTAATTACTCATAATAAAATACAAAACTGCAATATTTTAATGGCCGTATTTCTACATGTTAATAAATCCCATTGTTAATGTAAAAAAACAATTTGATCATATTTAATATACTTACCGAACGTAGTGATCTCGTTTTCAGTCATTTCTGTAGTCTCCGTCTCTGAAGATAATTCTGAAGATGTACTTGATGTAGATTGCGTAGACTCGGTCGTATCTGTGGATTCGGTATTTGATGTTGTTTCACTCTCTGTCGATTCGGTCGTATCAGTCGTCATATCTGTTGTTTCTGTTTCGGTGGATTCTGTCGGTCCAGTCGTGGAAGAAATTGTGGTTTCCGCCGAAGCGATAGTGGTAGCTGATTCATTTGTATCGCTTGTTACGTTGTCCAAATCAGTTGTTATACCACTGGATTCGATTGTTGTTCCGATATCTGCATCACTAGTCAATTCGCTGGAGATGGTAACGGAATAATCTGTCGATTGTTCTGTTGTTCCTGATTCAATAAAAGAATTAATAAATACATAAAGTAATACTGATTTTATTAACAATATATATAAATAATTTAAATACAGTAGGATTGCAAACAGATTTTAAATTTATATTATTTGATTATTATTATTAAATGTAATAATAGACCTGAAATCCTCTGAACTAATCTGTATTATATACAGAGCGAGTTTTTCTTTATACATATTACTTATTTTTATAGAAAGTTAGAAGTTGATTTTATAAAAGTATTTTATAGAAAATTAAAGAGATTATCCTCCCATTTCATACGTCGAAATCCAGTTCGAAAATGGTAACAAATGATAAGTCTCATTAATCTGAAGCCAATAAAAAAAATTGTAGCTTAGAGCGAGACTCACTGTTTTAAAGAAAATATAGCTCCTAAAAGTCCCAAAACCGACAGATTCCACTTTAATATATGTAATGGCTTTTAGGACTTTGATCATGCTCTAACTTGCTCCAAAAATTGATTTTAGCAAAATATGTTTAAACCGGGGTCGCCAAAGGTTCAGACTTAAAACTAGAACCGCTCAAGAGGCACCCGGCATCAGGACAAAAAATGTACAATCAATCGAATATATGTCTGTATATAAGAATAATAAAATCTATATCAGCTCTTAATTAGTTTCCCCCGAGAGTGCAGTTCTTGCAATGTCTTTTATCATTTCTTGACTCGAGATTCTCTCGAGTGAAGAATCATTGTTCATATTGGACTTGATGAATCAATTGATCGTTCATATTGAACTTGATGAACCAATTGATAGTTCACTTTTTGCCCTGATTAATATTTTTCAAAAAGTAAATAAAAAATGTATTACAAAATAAGAAAATAAAATAATATCAAAAGTAACGTAAAGTTCATTATACTGTAAAAATGTATTGATTGACGTTACATTTTTACAGTAACAGTATAATGAACTTTTTCACGTTTCTTTTTATATTTTTATTTTCTTATTTTGTAATACATTTGTATTTTTACTGCGTTACCGTTACAGAGAGACACCGTTAAAAAGAAGTAAAAGAACGAAAACAGTAACGGCGGCAACGAAGTAATGTGTTCCCAACCCAGCTGAAATACATCATTTTGGATAATGGCTATCTCGGAAAGTGAAATATATTTGTGTGTACCGTTGAATTCCGATGTTGAGGCTTGAACTAATTCGTTCGTAGATGCATTGGCGCCGGATCCTTCTTCTGGATTGGTACCGGATCCTTCGAGCGTTACGTCGGTTCCTTGGGTAATGTCCGACGGTTCAGTTACGTCTATCCCAAACTCGGTTGTGCCGGCTTTGCCTTCCGTTGTAATTTCACTAACTGAACTTTCGCTCTCTTCGACGACAGTAGAACCGATGTCGATAGTGCTGCCGACGAAGAAGCTAGTGTCAAACATGGTAAAATTATCGTCACCGCTACCTTCGCCGCTACCCAATTCTGAAAGTGATATATCGCCTCTCGTAGAATCGCTAAACATAGTGTCGTAAGTATCACTTCCGGTGAACAACGAACTCGGAGATGTTGCTTCTGTTTCCTCGATTAATTTGCCTATTGTCACTTTCTGAAACGAGAAAAGACGCTTCAATGTTACAATTATCAATGTTGCGATCCTCGTCGCTAGAGATGTAAAATCGAAGAAGAGTCGCGCGTTCAACCTGCAGAGATTGTTCCGCGCGTAAAGCGTAAAGGTTGATTTGATTCGCGAATCTAAGACGACTCTTTGAAACGGTGAAACAAACGGGGAAACCAAGTTACGAGAAGTAACTCAGTCGCTTAACTTAATATTTGATTAAGAGCGAGACGATACAGTTTTACTTACTCCCACAGGAAGACTGAAACCAACAGCACCTTCTTCTCCCTCTTCCTCTTCACACTCTTCTTCATCCGAGTCTATCATTTTCTCATCTAGATGCTCCTCGTCGGTTGGTGTCACGCCTGCATGCGGCAAAACAACACAGTTGTACATAAATCATAATTTCAATTTTTAACACAAATCTTTTAAAAGACAGTATGCACATGAAAACATTCTTGTAACGTTGGAGAATTCTATGCGTGCACTCTATTTATCGTTAACTAGCTTCAAAAGCACATTGGAAATTTAATTTCCTTGCTACAGAGAATGAGTGATGTTTTATTCACAGTAGGTGGTTCGTGTTGCCCTTTAGAATAAGTAATAAGTGCTAAGACATTTGAATTTAATATACCACGAACCTCATTATTTTCACGCCTGCTGTTCTAGGCATATTCAATATTTTATGCTCGTGGCCTATAATGAAAAGGTTTACGTCACAATAAATCACGTAACCTGCGTTATATATGATGAAGCAAATATTAATATCTTTAATATCTTTCTGATGAAAATGACAACAACATTTTAGGGATTTCTGAGGAAAATAGACAAATAGAATTATAGTTTAATAAATTATGTATCGTTAATATATATATATATATATATGTGTGTGTGTGTGTGTGTATGCATATATTTTTTCTTTTTCGTCAATATTTAGGTATTAATATTTTTAATAGCGTATAAATAATACGAAACAAGTAAATTTTAAAAATCTAACTAGATTTAATTAAACAACTGAATAGAACAATTAAATTTATTTTTTAAGATTATATTAGGTATATATATAACTCTTTTTAAACTATTGTTATTTAAAAATATGATATAACATTATATAATATATTAAATATTATTTTCTTTTTGTGCAAAAATCATTTATTTTATATGAGTATGTTAAATATTAAACTAATTTATTTAAAAATATAAAGTGTAAGCTTGTGAAACTTTTTTACCTTCTTCACAAGGTTGATCATTGCATTTTTCGGTAGAGAAAATGATGTTGTCGGCATTACACTGACTCACAGGTACCGTCTTGTTATCCTTCATGCAAATCACTTTACGTGTCATGTCGCCACCGCCACATGGTTTCGAACACTGCAACATACATTACGACGTGATTGATAATACTGCTGATTATTGATTAAAAAAAAAATTAATAAATCTGAATTATAATCAAGTTTTATAAAACTATAATGGTAACTTTAAACAAAGCATTATCAATTAATCGTATCTAAAAATAAAAATGTTATATGTTATATATTAAAAATAAATTAATTAAGATTAAAAGCAAACCTTGCTCCAAGGTCCTGCGAACCATTCGCCCTTACATGGTTCTTCAGCGGTGCAATTTTTCGTATTTTCAAATTTCTTTGCAGAATCACAATTCTCGTCTGGAACTTTCTTCACAATATCATCGCTAAAAGTGCCACAAAACACTTTGCGCGTTTGAACGCCATGTCCACATTTTGCCGAACACTATGAGAATATAAGAAGATTAATAAAGATGAAAAACACAGAAAATAAATTATATTATCATACATTTAACTAAAAGCTTTGACAGAAATATTGAATTTAGAGGATATGACTAATGTTTATTTATTATAATGCTGTGATTGCATTTGCATCCTAAAGTTAATTTTTCATCTTGAAGTAAATAATCCTTACGGCAAAATATTGTTGGATTTACGGAAATAAACAATTGGAAATTATTAAAAAACCATTCAAATCCAATATTGTATACTATTTGTTCCAATAGTTTTTTCACCTAATAGTATTTTCCAATAGTATTTTTTTCACAAGGGAATAGGCGCGCAAGATAATTTATTTATTTACCTCGCTCCATTGCGAAGTGAACCACTGGAAATCGCAATTCTTAGCTTTCTCACAGTCTCTTTCCAATTCCGGCTTCTTGTTTGCATCACACAGGTTATCTGAATAAACTGTGCCCTCCTGAGTAGCGCAATGTGCCGTTCTGGTTTCTTTGATGAGATCACACTTCTCCTCGCACTATAGAAAAAAAAATCTCAATTATCTATTTATTCTGTTCATTTAAAAGTTTGAAAAGTGTATATCGCAGAAGTAAAGTTTCAGTAATGTTTTTATTTAATAAAAAGTTAGTAGAGCGCAATCAGAAGACTCACTCCGCTCCATTCCGAGGTAACCCAATCGAGACCAGCGCAAGGTCTCAACTCGCAAGCTTTTTCGCGTTCAGGCATTTCCGCTTCGCATGCTTCATCTTCTAGAACTTGGATTTTGCCATCTACCTTCTTGTAACACGTGACTGTCCTAGTGTGTTTACCAGGACCGCATATATGATCGCACTGGAGCAAAAATTTATTTCTTTCGTCGCAATCGTATACATAAAACTGTTATTATTTAATATTGTCATACGTAATAATATGGTAACTTACAGGCTTCCACGGTCCTTCGTGCCACTGTGGACAATCCACGTCTTTATTGCATTCTTGCTTAGTCTGGCCTTTCGGCCCCACTTTTTCTAGACATTGAGTATCGTCCACTATGGAAGCTATCCCACCTGAGATGATCTGCTCGCATTTGATATCTCTAGTTTGCTCGCCCCCTTCGCCGCAATGTTTCGTGCAAGTTGACCATGGGCCTTCTACCCAAATAGGCGGACATGGTTCTTCGCTACAACTTTGAGTGTCAGCTGGTTCCAACTGCGGATCGCATAAGCTCTCATCCACCGGCTGATTGTCGCGCCTTCGTACACATACTACCCGTCTCGATTGGTAGCCTTAAAAAATAAACGAAACATAGACTTGCTTTCGTTCGAGTGCAACCATTACTTAAACTATAATGGGAAAATAAGAAAAAAGATTTTTTATGACTAATAAGCGATCGATTTCAACGCGTTCAACCTGTGCATAAAATTGATAAACAATATTTATTACTTTGCTCTCATCGCAGCCGATGCATGTAATTATTATAGTTACATCATTATCGGGAGATTTATTAATATATCGATATCGGCATTATTTGGATTTAAAATAAATATAATTTGTTAAAAAGAAAGAACAATCGAAACAATATCTTAATATTCAACATAGATTATCAAGTTTTCTAAATATTTGCGCGTAGCGGGCAAAAGTACCTTGTTTCCTGATAAGAAAGCATTTCAGAAAGCTACAATTCTATAATCATCTGCAATTTTAATCGACATCTACGCATATTAAAATAATAATTTTATAATACCTCCACCACAACTAACGCTGCAACTTGAAAATTCATCGGTTATCCAGGTGTAACTATCTGGATCGGTACGCACCGAAAACTTCTTGGGTATGCTATACTCGTAATGCACTCCTACATTGCGATCTTGATAGAGCAACTGCGAAAAGAAAATATACGATGCGCTCCGTTCTAAACATTTCACTAGCAAAAAATAACGAATATTAATGTATACTGACCACTACGTAAATCGGTTCATTTGTAGGTCCCAGAGCCGTGATGGTATCGGGTGCTGCAAATCCTTGAGGATCTCTAGCGTAATGAAAGATAGTACCAGAAAAGCGCAAGCTGCGTGGAAAATCTATTCTCCAATTGCCATTTAAATAGTAATGTCCGGTTGTGTTGCGTATGGCTAATTAACAAATTTCAAGAATATTTAGAGTAAATAACTATTGAACAACTTATTGATATTATGTTTATTGATGACATTAAATTGATTATTTTAAATATGTAAGTATATGACGCGTTATTTTACTGTTTATATTTATTTCGTTTATACTCACCTAAATAATTGTTGGATGGATAATTTTCTTTTATGATAATATTTGTCGCACCCTCGGGAATAAGTAAAATATCAATATAACCTGGAAAAGTTATATTTCTTTGTTATTAGTTTAGGAGAGAAATAATTGAAATGCAATATAGTTTTAAGAAGCAATGAAAAATTAATTAAAATATACAATATCGATTATACAAAAATAATTTGCAATCGTTTGCTGAAAAATTGTTGTGAAACATTTATAATTAATTTTATTTGTAAATATTAATCAACAAAAATAACTCACCCACTTGGAGATCGTCTGTGTCAAATAAACCTGTAACGGTATTGCAATCTGAGCCATCGCCACCACATTCTCTGCACGCATCTTCTTTAGCATCACTACCTAGCATCATATCACACCCGACATGCTATATCAAAACAAAACAATTTTATAATCAATTCTGTCGTGATATATTTAACTTTATTTCAACTTTTTTATTTTATTTAACTACAACTTAATAACACAAGTTTATTATTTAACACAAGCCTATTATTCGTTAATCAGCTAATACAATAAGAAAAGAAATATATTATTTTAAGTAAAATTATCTTATTGCTTTTTACACAATTATTAAATTTGTAATAATTAAACGTAATGATTAAACATAATTTACCATGCATTTGCCTTTGACGCAAACGTCATTCTTTTCAGCTTCACAAGGAGTACCGTCGATCACAGTGACTTTATGTCTGTAGAAAAATCGCTCGCCTCGTGGCATACAATTTAGTTCACATTTATTCGGACTTCCGGTGTACGGAATCCAACTATGGAAAATAAATAATAATGTTTAATTAAAAATCAATAATTACATCACGCCCATTTTGTAAATTAGATGCTACAATCTATTATTTTTTATTATTTATATTTTTCATATTTAACAAACGATGTGTTTTGCATTAGTAGGGAAACATTTATCATAGCAAGTAAAAGATTCATTATTCCAGTCTATGTTCATAAGTAATAACGTTTGTGTGATCATATTTTTTAGTAGAAACTTTCGAATCTCTTTCGAATACTTAATTCAGGATACATAAAGAAGAAAAAGTATTTATAAATATTACGATGTCTTTCATTCAAAAGACGATATATTCAAAAACGACGGACTTGAAAGATGGATTATTAAAGTGATGTCAAGGGCGAAGAATTCTATCATCATCATCTCAGGTCGGAGCATCAATCGTAAATCACCGTCATAACGTAACACTAATCTTGTTTCATGAATTCAATAAAATTTCCAATCGAGTGGACATTGATAATTATAATTATAATGCCAGTTACGAGAGAGAAAGAGAGAGAGAGAGAGAGAGAGAGAGAGAGAGAAACTCACTCGTAATAAACTCCTTCGAAAGGTACGTTATTAAACTCCTCGCACTGTTCCGCACGAAAATCCTTTGATTCTCCAGGACATTCCTGCAAACAAAAGTATAATTGAAGATTTTTTAAATATAGCTTGAAGGCAGAGAGATTTTTTGTTAAAATATCAATGTAATTCCCTATTGTCTAGCTAGAGCTGTTTTTTTTTGTTGGGTTTTTTTTTGGTAGGTCAATTTGATTTTTTAAATATCTTATCTCATAAAATGTATCATTTGCTTAACATTATATATTGCAGTAGTAAGAACGTAAAAAGTTTATCGTAAAAGTTATTTATCAAATTTGATACATTTAATACAGCCTTATATCTTCACCTCACAACTTAGATGATCAAAAACTATTTACAAATTATTCTTAACTAATATTTCTCATATCTAAATTAACTGCTAACTTTTTGGTAACTTGAGTGATGATACTGATAGACTTAGAATTTTTAATTACATAAATTAATAGAAATGCTATATGCAATCTGAAGCGGATCTTGGTGCTTTTGTTAGTAATATTATTTTTAAGTGAATCTTATAATTTTCCAGGTATACTGCACGCCACACATTCGTTGATCTTGAAACACATAGCTTTACGCTGAATCTGGACTATGTAAATTAAATTGACAAGCAATTTGAAAATGCATACAGCATTTCTATTAATTTAAGTAGTTTAAAATTTCACCTTTGTTTAATACTGTGAATTAAATAAGCGTGTGTTGTGCTGTTTCATGAATGGTTCGTAAAAATAAAATGATCCAGAAATAAATAATTCGCATCGGAGAGTAGATCAGTAAGGCAAATAACGTCGATAAATCGAATCGAGAACTATAGCAAAAACAAAGAAAAGATACTCCAGTGGGTACTACGTACGAGAATGCAACATAGAATTTATGGTGGGAGATTTCTTGCGAACGGAATGAAACGCCAATAAAAGAGTGGCAACAGGGTGGCTTGAAATAGTGAGTGAATAAGTGAGTGAGTGAGTGAGTGAGTGAGTGAGTGAGTGAGTGAGTGAGAGAGAGAGAGAGAGAGAGAGAGAGAGAGAGAAATAGCAACATCTCAGAAAGAATTTTAGACGATAATCGGGTCATTCAAAATGATGTTGTGAATGATGAATATTATCAATCGTATAGCAAATCATAAAATTTATAAGGAATTATTTCAAACCGCATTACAACTAAATAATTTATTTAAAGTATTTTTCTTTAAATGTTAAAATTATTTAAATCTATTACTTTTATTGTTAAAAGTAACGCCTTTGGCAGAGATACGGTTATATTCCCTGATTCTTATCAGAATCTTCCATCGTATTCTTTATTTGCTGCTGGGAGCAAAAATTTTTTTTTGCATCTAAAAAAACCGAAAATGCAAAGAAAATAATACATGCAAAATGAATTACAGCGATACATAGCGAAATATTTGAATTTCTGTATATTTTAATACGCAGAAATAACAGAGCACTTAATTGACCATCTTGATGTACATACAATAGTTACCAATTATTGATGAGATCTCCAAAAATTTATTTATATAGAATTTTTGAATGTAATTTCTAATCATTAGTCTCATAGACTCATATAAATTATTTAATAATTATCAAATTGGTAAATCCAATACTACATTTCAGGAAACTAATGCTTATATCACGATTTCCTTAAACTTATACAACTCTTTTGAGAAAGAGTATTTATTCTGAAGATGACAATTTAAGCAAAAGCTTAAACAGACATGGATAATATAGACTGAGAAATAAATTATAAAAACGTTTACAAGCATTAGTTCATCATTTTGTATGTTGCAAACATTTACATTAACTGCATAATATGTATATTTATGTTTTTATATGTTATTTCATATATAGATAATATTTTATAATGAGTGTAATTATAATTTTTTATAACAAGATGCAACTATACTATCGTTCTACAAAACAGATGTCAGTGGCATGTATCTATTATAGAGCATGTATAGCGGTATATTATTTGTTCTAGTTAGCATCTAGCTCTAACAAAGTTAATACTTCGCGAGTCGTATAATAGACTTCCGTTTATGAATCTTCTGCAGTCCGTCACAGAAAACAAAAAAAATGCTGACGCAATATATATTCGGGTGCGGTTTCATTATTGAATAATACATGCTTATACATGATCAAATCAATGACATTAGTGTTTGATTCCAAGAGCATTGTTTTTTTTTATAAATATGTAAATTCCAATTTGTCTTGTGTTTGTATCCAAATTATAAAAGTTAATATAGAAAGAAGAAAAAAAGGTGCAGTAGGGAGTTATGAAAAAATTCATTTGTTATCTTAAATCCTATCTTAAAATTGCCGTGTTACCGGCGTTGAAGCCTCTTTCCCCAATGTTTAAAAATTCATATCTTCCAGAAAAATAAAGATATAGACTTCTTTCTGGGCTCATCCTAAAGATGAATTATGTGGCTATTTTTAAAAAAATAGTGATTTTATTTAAAAATGGCCGATTATAACGTAATTTTTTTTTAAATTTATTTTTTTCTAAAAATTAGTTAAAATTTAGTTCAATTAAAATATAAAAAATTTCGAAAAAAATATTTTTACTTTAAAAAATTACATGATATAAAAAGTGGTCGTGAAAAGTAGGTGAATGAAGGTAGTGGGTGGTGAAGGTGGGTGATGGTGGTGAGTGGTGGTGATGGGTGGTGGTAGTGGGTGGTGGTGGGTGGTGGTGGGTGGTGGCGGTGGGTGGTGGTGTTGGTGGATGATGGTAAATCAAAAGCAAATTTTTATTTTAACAATCACATAATATAAAATATTAAAAAAAAAAATTTTTTAATTTTAAAAACCACATGATATAAAAAATTTTCAAAAAAAAATTTTTATTTTGAAAATTAACTGATATAAAAAATTTTTCAAAAAAAAATTTTATTTAAAAAATTACATGATATATACAAAATGGTGGTGGTGGGTATTTGCGGTGGGTGGTGATGGATAGTTGTGGTGGGGAGTGGTGGTGACTGGTGGTAGTGGTGAGTGGTGGTGGTGGGTGATGATTGGAAAAAAAAAAATTTTTATTTTAAAAATCACATGATATAAAAAATTTTTAAAAAAATTTTTATTTTAAAAATCTACTGATAAAAAAAATGTTCAAAGAGAAATTTTTTACTTTAAAAATCACATGATATAAAATTTGTGAAAACAAACTTTTACTTTAATAATCACATGAAATAAAAAATAGTCGTGAAGAATAGGTGTGTACGGTGGTAGTGGGTGGAGGTGGTGGGTGGTGGTGGTGGTGGGTGGTGGTGGTGGGTGGTGGTGGTGGGTGATGGTGGATCAAAAAAAATTTTTATTATAAAAATCATGATATAAAATATTTAAAAAAGAAAATTTTATTTTAAAGATCAAATGATATAAAAAAATATTTAAAAAAAATTTGTAGTTTATAAACTGTCTCTTAT